CCCCCCCCAACTCACCCTCACCTCCTCCACCAGTGTGGTGAGCAGCCTGCGCGCCGGCCACCCGCACTCGCTCCCAAAAGTGGGGGGCACGCATTCCAGCCGCCCACTCACTCACCATTCCAGCCGGCAGCAGGGTGGGGCGCGGCAGGGCGCGCGGCGGGGCGGGGCGGGGCGGGGCGCGGTGCACCTCGCAATTAGACGCGCCCTTTCGCAGCGCGGAAAGGCCAAGCAAGAACTTTTAGCTTAGACCGACTTTTTGGACGTTTTAAGCTCGACGACAGCATATTATTCCAGAACAAATAGTGCTTTTTTCAGAAGACGCTCGTTTGCCTCGACCTTCCACCCTAAACGAGTTGGGGTATTAACGCCAAATGAGGAATCGTCAAGAAAGTTAATCCGTCATTCGACGCTACGAAACTGCCAAGTCGAGTCTGTGCAAGCTCTCATAGTGCCTGGTAGTAGGCAACAACTTGCATTCATTACATGCGTGCACTGCGGGATGGCCTACCCTGAGTCCCGCAGGCGCTGTGATACAGCCTGCCGCGAGGCGTCGGCCGCCGGGCTCCCGCAATCTGAGCAAAACGGACGTACTTTCTGGGCGATCAATTATTGGCCTCCTCTAGAACACCAAATATTGGCATTCTTCTTCTGAAAAAGCCAACTATTGGCATCTTTGAACGCCAATATCTGACGCACCGGAAGACGCGTCTTCTTGACATTTCATCAGAGGACGCCAATATTTTGGCGCTAAAAGACGCCAACCAGTTTACAGTGGAGTTTTTGGCATCTCTGCTCACAGTCGAAAGCCTCTCGATCAAATACACTCCAGCCCGCCCAGCGCGGTGCCGCCCAAATGGACTCCGGCCGGACGACCGCAAACAGGCTGTGACCCATCAAGGTCGACTTCACAGTTGATCAACAATTAATTGTCGTCTGATTCCAGTTTCCATTACACCGATCTGTCGGGAGAGAAAGGCAGGGGAACTAGACCGCACTGTCACATCGCCTTAACGAGCCGTACGCCAAAGGGCACCACCCAACTCAGCGGTCCGGTCAACAAGGCCCTTGGACAGGCTTGGTCTTGGTGAGGGACAAATTAAATATATCGAATCGTGATGTATCGAATGGATATGAAAGATACCAAAAGAAAAGTCGCCAATGGTGTCGTTTGCTTTCACTCCGAACCTCGGTACCTCGGTGGCGCCTGCTCGTGCGTCGCAGGCTGTCGCACGACCACGTGTGCAAACAGGC